TTCCTGCTGTTGGTAATGTGTTTCTTCTCTGTTGTTTGTGCTAGTCATTTCTGCTACAGGCTTGTCAATTTAATTGATCTTTTCAAAGAACGAGCTTTTGTTTTAATTGGGTCTCTATTATTTTGTTTAAAATCTCTTAATATTTGCTGCCATTCGTTTGTAAAGTAAGTTCTTATGGATACCTACTGGGAACTTTTCAGTTATTTCTGTAGGCATGAGGGCCTTTTTGATTAAATACAATGAAGTGATCATGAAGGCAGGAGTTCAAAAGGGTGTGGTGCCGGTGTGAACGCTTAGAGTTTGGTCAAAGTCTTCATGAAGATGAATAAATGCTTACTGGATGAGCATACGGAGATCACACAGTGATTGTTCTAAAACTAATGCTTGAGAATGGGTTGGAAGAAGTCGGCAAAGAGTTGACATGGTTGAGTGGATTGCATCATTTTGCATGCCGTGTCACAGGGATGCACTAACTGGTGTTATTCCCCAAACCTCGATTTTATGCCCTCACCATTCTGTCTCCTGAGGTGTATTGCCTCATGCACTCCTCAGGAGAAGCCTAGGAGATGAGTCTCGTTGGTGTCCCCATTTTACAGATAGGAAGCGACAGGACATGAAGCTGAATAAATTAGGGAAGATGGATAATCCTCACAGAATTTTCTTTCTTCTTTTATCTGCCTCTGCTGCAGTCCGGCTTCTTCTGGCCACACGTGTTCCTCGCTACCTTCCTGCTCTCTGAGAACCTCCAGCTTTACCTTCCTATCTGGACCCAAAGGCTGGACAGTCCAGCTCAGACTAGACCTCCATGGATCCACTCCAGAAATGGAAACCAGCGTCGAGTTCAGAGGCTCTGCAGATGATCACTGCCCAGATGGCCCAGGAAGGCACAGCCACCCCTCAGCCCTCCTGCTCAGAACAGCTAACAAAGGGCCTTAGTAACCCGAGTCCCGGTCCTGGCACTGACCTTCCTGGGCCTCTACCAGAGGGGCTGCTCCAGCAGCGGTACAGAGAGGAGAAGACCCTGCACGAGAGGCAGTGGGGGAGGCTGGGGTTTCCTCAGAGACAGAAAACATTTCTGGGGCACATGAGACGGAGACACCGTGATCACATGGCACCTTACCCGGTAGAAAAGGAAGCCAGAATCCCTCCCTCAGGAGTTAGAGATCAGAATCGGTTCTGCTGTGAGTGTCGATACTGCCAGAGCCAGCGGCCACCTATCTCTGGGATCTCGGGGGAGAGGAACGGGGCCCCACATGCTTCCTCCTGGGAGACACTAGTGCAGGGCCTCAGCGGATTGACCCTGAGCCTGGGTACCAACCGGCCCAGTCTCCGGCCAGAAGGGGCACTCCCACAGCAGGAGAGCGAGGAGAGGTGCCAGCTAGAGAGGCGGCAGGAGAGCAAAAGAATGTTCCAGAGGCTGCTCAAACAGTGGTTAAAAGACAACTGAGATGCCCGTCCTCCTACATTGGAGATCTGAGGGGATTCAGACCTAGATGCTGTGTTGCCAGCTCCTGGGTATGAGTGCCTTTGGAGACCAAAGAGTAAGCCATAGTGGGAGGCCTACCAAGACCCATGAGGGGACTGGAAATCCTGCCAGCGTGAGTTATGCTCCAGGTCCACAAGGTCCCTGTCCTCGATGGACGCTGTGAGACCCTCTGGAGCAAGACCAGTGGTCTTCCCCTTATCTCGTTGGACTCCCGCAATGGACGTCGTCACGTTGTTCCCACCCCGGATCGCGGTCTTTCCTCCCTGCTTCGTTGTCAGTGAGATACACAATGTCTATGTAGCATGAATGCCTTGTCTGCATCCCCGTGCTCTTGTGCCATCGAATCGGCTGTCCCTGAGCAGCAGCCCTGGGTCTGTTAGACATGTGCACTGTGCCTCACTGAGATCCAGCTTCAAGAGTCTGAAGCTGAACCAAACATGGGGAAGGGGTGTGGAATGGGAACTTGCTGGTTGCCATATACCGTTTGTGTAAACTATTATGAATATGCAAAGCTAACTGTAAGTAAATGCTGCCCTGCTCCATAACAACCGAGTAGTGTTCCTCCTCTCGGGAATTGCTGCAGTGAGGAGTGCCTCATCGTCAATACCAAATAAATACACAGCTGAAAGGAACGTAACTTTAGAATTCAGGTTCATTTATCAAGAGTGGTGTGTTTCTGGTCAGATCTCAGGTCTCTTTCCTTTAAGTCCCCCAGCAGCGGGTAAGAGTCAATCAAGATGAGCTCTCCACTGTGTAGATTTGGAGTGGGGGGGGGTGGAGGAAGGACACCAAAGATCGTGGTCAAGTCGGGCCAGGCAGTGGGATCTGAAGAGAGTCCTCCTGCCCACGGCCGGCGTTGGAAGCAGGTGAAGTGCCCCAGTGGGAGCCCCTGAGGGCCAGGACTGGTGCCCTGTTAGTGCGCTGGAGGCCATTCCCTATATCTGGTGCATCTTGGGTGGTGAATGTGAACAGCCAGTTCATGCTTGCTCGTGATAGCCGGAACATCACTGAGTTTAGTCACAATCCTATCAGTACTTAGACGTGTGTCTGTTCATTCTGAGAGGCATGAATGGTTAAGTCTACTTTTCTCTCCCTACAGAATCCTGTGTTGTGTACCCTGAAAGTGACCATGCGATCCCTCTGACCTGAAAACACATTCTGCTTTGTGTCAGCCTGTGTTTTTAGGTAGTCTGTAGAGTCCTTTTGACATGAAAATCTCCGTGTCTCCTGCCGATAGAAGTAGCTGGGTGGCAGGTAAGTGTCTCAGATTCTGAACTCGAGATTTCTTCAAAGAGCTTGAGAGTTAAATTGACCCAGCCAAGATCGTCTGCCAGCTCTAGAGGAGAAGGTGGATGGAGCAGGGCTTTCCTTTCTTTCTTTCTTTTTTTGTTTGTTTGTTTTTGTGTTTTTTGTTTGTTTGTTTGTTTTACCCAGGATTTCAGGCACCTTTATTCATGGCAGATAGTTGTGGTGTCAGGGGAGCCTGCCTTTGAAACCTTTCCTTTCTTAAGGAAGCCAACTCCTACCTAAGTCCCCATCATCCTTACAACAGCAATTGGCCATATCATTTCCATTTGCCACTTACGAAGCTTGAAAACGCCCTGCACAGGGTGCCAGCTGATCTGGTCAGAGGCCACGTGTGTGGGACATGCAGGGGCTAAACCCTGCAGCACGGCCTACTGGCTCCATCAATGCATCTCTACTGCTGGGTAATAATAGCGGTGAAAATTTTACTCCTTGTGTTCCCCATATACTTTATAAATAGGACAAATTATTAATATTATGTGTTTGTAATACAAATAATCAAGACTGGTAACAAGAAAAATTTTAAAAATATACTGTTTTCATTAAGCGTTTCTACTAAGGATCACATCGTTCAACTTCTTCGATGTTTCAACTGTTTGTTGTATAAAATTACTTAGTGGTGACAATCACATGGCCCACCTTCCAGGTGGCCAACACTGGCCTCTGGGCTCAGTACTTCTGATACTTTACTTCTGAGTGGCCAAGAGCCATTATCCCAGTCTTCCATAACTGCTAATAAAACTGCTACTATGCAAAGATTTAGGTAGGAAACAATTTAAGTAAAACAGTATTTCTTAAAAATTTGGGTCTATTACAGGTCATTTTCCATTTTCCAGCCCAGCAACTGACATGGCCTCAGTCTGGTCTTTCTCTGTTTCAATCAGTAGCTCAAAATGATGGAGTGACTGAGTTTTACAATCCTGCCATATTTTTTATGGTGATCACTGTAGATAAACAATGTAGAATCTCACTGAAGTATTAGAATCTCATGCAAAACTCTTAACAAATAAATGCCTCATTACACTACTTTCTGTTTGTGAAAAGTTCCATCAGCGGACTGTGGCAGTGGTTCATTTTCATTGACTGTAGTATCTGCTCCCAGGGATAAGTCACAGTTCAACTCTGAGTTTGGGCAACGCAGCAGTGACAGATACTATCTGGTGTTAGCACAAAAGTCACCTTTGCTGAGAATGAAAGAATCCTAAACTCTTTAAGTGTCTTACTCCACCAGATCTAAACATAATCTACAGTGTTACTTTTTCTCTAATAAAAACATTGCACAGCAACTTTTATCAAACAGCAACTACTACAAAAGAAATTGCAGGGGAAAAAAATGACTCCACAAAAATAACACTAAAAAATTTGACAATCTTATGCAGGAACTGCCAAAGTTTTAGTGTTTAATAATTAATAGCACAACTGACCAAGGCCTGAAATGTGAAGATAACATGCTCAAGACACTGGAGGGAGTCACTCTTTAAACTCACTATATAGTATGTGGTTAAGAACGCACACTTTATAATATAAAACCTGTCTACACATAGTGGTTAGCTCAGAAAGCCAGCTGGTCTCCTCTTGGTGTTCCAGATTTCGGTGTTAATTATTAGCAACCTTCAACTCTTCTATGTGGCAGGTATCTTGTGCCTTCCCGTTCTTGCACCCCAGCCTGTGTCATGAGGTCGGCCATGTTTTTCTCCAGATCATCAATGCGACTACTCATATCATCAATTCTTCCAATGATCTGGTCGGACGTGGTCTGAAATTTATCTTACATCTGTTGCAAGAGAGTCTGCACCACAGAGGTCAGGTCCTGCACTGTCTTGGGATCAGGCTCAGCTATCTCCCTGGTGCCCAGCTTAGCGGTGGTTCAGGGCTTTCCTTTCTTGAAATCCAAAGGCCTAAATTCAAACTAGAGACTCGGGGAGTGTTTAGAAGGGGTAACATGGGGTGGCACTTTTGCCGATTGTTTGTCAGGTGTCAAGACCTGATTCTATGCCTTTCCACATGTTAGCTCAGTTCATCCTTTCCCATGGACCTATGGTTTAGCAACAATTTGGAAAGCAGAGTACAGAGAAGTCAGGGAACACACCCAAGGTCACACAGGCAATGAGAGAGGTAGACCTGACATGTAAACCCAGGCAGGCTCGCCACAGAGCTGGCAGGTTTCACCAGCTCACCCCTGCGAAGGCTGGGGGCAAAGTGCAAAGAGCCAGGGACTTCATGAGATGTTCCTTGCTGGAAGCACCAGACCTTGATGAGACGCGTTGCTGAAATTCCAGAGGTAGTCCTGCCCTCGGGAATTGCACATGTAAATGGGGAGAGAGATCAGATGCTGTTGTAGTCCCTTTGTGGTGCTGAAACAAAATACCACAGACTGGGTAATTTATCAAGAATAGACATGGTTTGCCTTCAGAGTCCTGATGCTGAGAAGCCCAAGATCAAAGCACTAGCATCTGGTGGTAGAAGGGCAACGGGGCGTGAGCATTGTATCCTCACCTAGCAGAAGAAGGAAACAGAGCAAACCCCCTCTTGCAAGGCCTTTTCATAGCAGCTTTAACTCATTCATGAGGGCAGGGCCTTGATGAACTAAACGTCTCCCATTAGGTCCCACCTCCTGATACTAATGTCTTGGGGATTAAGTTTCAACATGAGATTTGAAGGGGGGAAAAAATCGTTGAAATGATAGCAGACACACAGACATGTTAGGAGAGTGGCTAAGAACCCCTGTGTGGCACAGGTTGTCAGGGAGTGAGAATAGTGAGAAGGATCAGGCTTGGATGATGTACACGTGGGGGTCTCCTGTGGGGTGATTTCTCGCTTTCTGTCTCTCTGTCTCTCTAGTGAGTGCATGGGCCCTATAGCAAAAATCTCTCTAAACGAAAAAAAGAAGAAGAAAAACATGCCACGCACGTGTGCATGGATGCCCAAAATCCGGAGAGGAGGAAGAAATAGAGAAGAGCTTGCAGCATGATCATGCTCCCACGGGGTGGGGGGGGGGCCTTTATAACACACACACACCCTTCTAGTCTTTATCACACACACACACCCTTCTAGCAAGCGCACGTGCCCTCTGGCATATTGAAAAATGCAAGGGACCAGCAGTTGGCGTAATGGCTATGTTGCTGGACTCCCATGTAGTCGACCGCAGTTCGGGTCCCAGATCTGGTGGTTTAAACTCACGCCAGGCGCATGTGCTTGTGTGGCCGAGATCCCAAGAGGAGAAGAGGAGAAAGGAGGAGAAGGGATTGTGGCGTGGTCATCTCCCCTGGGGGATGATTTCTCTCTTTCTGTCTCTCTGTCTCTGTCTTTCTGGCAAGCACACACACCCTATAGCAAAAATCTCTCAAAACACACACACACACACACACACACACACACACACACATATATATATAAGCAAAGGACACTGTCACTAGTGTGAATCAACAACCCTCAGAATAGGAGAGAATTTTTAACTGTGCCTCAGATAAGGGACTGATAACCACAATACACAGGAAACTCAAGTGGCTTACTTGGAAAATAGAGATTAACCCAATTGAAAGATGGAAAAATGAGCTGAATAAACAACTCTCTAAGGAAGACATATAAACAGCCAAAAAGCACATGAAGAAATGTTCAACATCCCTCATTGTAAGGGAGATGCAGATCAAAACCACGATGAGATACCACCTAACCCCAGCCAGAATGGCGAAGATTTAAAAAAAAAAAAAAAAGATAAGTGCTGGAGGGGATGTGGTGAAAGGGGAACACTCCTACATTGTTGGTGGGATTGTAAATTGGTCCACCTACTGTGGAGAACAATATGGAGGTTCCTCAAAGACCTTCTAATAGAACTACCGTATGATCCAGCAATTCCACTCCTAGGTATCTACCCAAAGGACAGGAGAATGCTCAATCAGAAAAGTGCTTTCACATCTATATTAATTGCAGCCTTATTCATGATTTCTAAGACATGGAACCAACACAAATGTCCACAAGCAGATGAATGGATTGAAAAAGTGTGACACATATACTGCATGGAATACTATTCAGCCATAAAAAATAACAAGGCCCTGGCATTTGATAGAAAGTGGACCAATATGGAAGATCTGTTGCTGAGTGAAGCAAGTCAGGCTATGCAAGAGAGACATTGTATGTCTCCCCTTAACATATACTGACTGTCAGCACTGCATGGCAGAGACTGAAAGACTGGAGGGACATACAAGCATTAACCATTGTTATGGACACTAGAGCCAAAATGGAAAGACTGGGGGAGGGGAAGGGCTTAGGAACGGAAATTTGGGTAAAAAGCAGAGAGGTAAGGCATTTGTGGGACGTGGATATGGTTTATTATTTGTTGATGAGGACGTGCGTATGTTCTCAACTGGGCTGGACTGAGGTGTGTGTCATGCTGGGTAAAGTCTCTTTAAAATTCTAAA